CCCCATGCTGGCTGGGGAATTCTGGGAGTTGACGTCCACCCATCTTAAAGTTGCTGAGGTTGAGGAACCCTGATGTAGAGGCAATAATTGCACTTAAAATACTTTATTGAGTGGTATACAATTTGTTTGTCCCTTGCCTTACAACAGAAAGCTTCTTTTTGCAGCGAAAAGGATGAACATAACCTCTGGAAGTCTAGAAGCACTTGGTGGTGATGTGTCAAGAGGAGACTTGTGAGTCCTGTTTTAATTGGTTTAGCAGCTGACAGGTTCAGATAGGGGTAATAACGGAAACTGGAAACTAAGACCTGTGATAGGAATTGTGTAGGAAAAATGGGTATATTGAGTCTTTAAAAGACTGGAAGGATGTGATAGAACACTTTGACTGTCTGAATGGCTGCCACACAGAAGAAGTTTAAACTGGTTCTGTGTTGTCCCACAACACAGTGGGACATGGGGGTGTGAAGTTGGAAAACAGAATACAGTTGAATGTCAGGAAGGGCTTCCTAATAGTAAGACTAGTTCAACAGTGGAACCTCCCAAAACCCAGAGAGGCAGTTGGGTTTCTCTGTGTTGGATGTGTACAGACAAATGTTGGGCAGCCATCTGTTGGGGATATTCTAATTTGGATTCCAGCCTTGAACAAGGGTAGAACTGAACAGCTTACATGGCCTTTCCCAACTTTTCTGATTCTGATAGTCTTCAGAAAATGACTATAGAGAGGACACCTGTTCCATGTCTCATTCTGAAGAGTCCCTAGAGCAGGGAGTGTGTGTGTGTGAGCCGTGGGCCACCTATGACCCCAGAACAGCTTGAGATGATAAGACCAAGCTTTTCTTTCCAGCCAGAGGAGGAATTAAGGAATCTATTTATTTACTTGCAATGTTTGCAGACCACTCAGTCCAATAGACTTTGGGTAGCACCCAACACAGAGAAGAGCAACTGTCATAATGAAGCCCATAAAATGTGATGCTAGTAATAAAAAAATCAACAACACTGATGGTTGGCAACATTCATACTGCAACTCAAATGCTCGCTGAAATAAAATGGTCTTAAGACCTTCTCAAATGCAAGGGGGGTTCGGGCCAGACATACCTGTGGAGTATGTTCCATAGCAAAGAGACTATACTGAAAAAGCCTGCCTTCCAGCCCACACCCGTCTTCTCATGTGGGGGCACTACTCTTATTCTTGTGATGTTCAGATGGATGAATAGAATCATGCTGGACAGGGCAGTGCTTGATGGAATGAGAGTTTGGAGTAGAGTTAAAGGGGGAAATGGATGCCTTGCAGGGCACACCTTTAAACCCTTATCCCTAATCTTTCCCCAATCAGGCTGTGGCAAAATGGATCCCTTAAGATTTGCCAAGTCCTTCCAGTCCTTGGAATCCAACAAAATGCTTGCAGTCTCTGGCAGCAAGAAAGTTGTCTCTGTCACCCTAAAACTATCAGAGAATGCACAAGCTACGTTTGCAGATGTTTGTGGTTAGGAATGTTCACTCAAGTGATTGCACAGGACAAGCTTTTAGAAATGAGGGAATCTGGGTTAACAGTGGAGAGAAATAGCTGCATGTCTGATCCAGAGGGGTGTTCTTGCTTAGAGTTGTTGTTGGGTGATGGGAGCTTGGCTAGAAAAGGTTTGGATGGGGAAGAATTTTCTTAGCATTAGACACCTATCCTGCTGTTGGTCTCCTCCGTTAAAAATATGGAGAAATAGAAGAGGCAAATGATATAGTCCTTCTTGTGCTTACCTATTCCAGAGAGACATCTGACTTGATCACTTGTGTAGCAGATCTTCAGTTCAACAACCAAAAACTTCAAGAGGAAAATGCCCAGTTGAAGCTGGCACTGGATGCCATGGAGGAGACCAATAATAGACTGATGGAAGACAGTGGGGAACTGCGGAGTCAGATAAAAAGGTGCGATGCTTTTGAATTAAACAAAATAGTCTTGGTGGTGGTTTCGCAAGATTTGTTGTTGCTCTATGTAAAGAAAGTAGGGGTATCTCTACCAAGTCTTCTTCCTCCAACATGTTTATCATAGCCACCCGTGTGTATAGGATGAACACCCACAGAGCTGAGCTTAGTTGTCCTCTGCAGATACTAGTCTTCTATACGTAGAAGGAGATGAGAAATCTTGGCATGCACATACCTACCCAGAGTTTAATTTTCTTGGAGAGGAGATCATTGGAAACTAGCGTCAATATAAGGTTTAATCAAGATCTAGTATAAAATGAGGATTCACAGCCTTATCATTCCAATAAATTCTTGTTCAACATTGGATTTTTAGGGAACTTGGTGCCATAGGGTTTCTCTCTGACTCCTATGATCTGGTTGGGTTCTGTTATATCTTTCTTTTGGTTTGAAGTCATTGCATATATTAATATACCTGTGGAGGAAAATGTAATAAAGATGCAAATGAGATGCTCAGTTGTACTTCAAAATATGGAACTTGGCACTTTATTGGTTCTGCTAAGAGAATGATTCTGTGTAGATGGAAAGACCGGGTTCAAGAATTGTGTTCATTGTTAAATTTTGAAATGTCTTTATGTTGTAAAAATGAGAAGATAGAAAATATGTTTCTGTATGGTCTAGATTTAATAATATGTTAAAGGTTGAGCCATTCATATATTATTGTATAGACTGCATTAATTTTTAGTTCATTTTAATCACTGTATATATATTTTGTTTATTGTATGCCACTATTGTATCATTTTTATTTTGGTTGAGTTTCACTATATTTGTAATAAAAATATATTTATATATCACACTTACAGAGCCACCCATCTCACAGAACGTGACTCTGGGCGGTGTACAATAAAAAACACATCATAAATACTAACCATTTTTTTAAATCTACAAAGAAATATTGAAAAAAAAAATCTCACAGGATTCCTTGACTGCCCCAAATGCTCTCTTTGGTTTTGGCTTCTTAGTTTCCAGCAGTCTGTGAGCCAAGTGAAAACGTTGAAAGAGGAATTGGAGGAAGTGAAGAACACTCTCAATGCTGCTGAAGAAAAGAGGCAGACGATGACAGTCCAGAATAAACAGCTTGTAAGTTGACATTTGTGATTAGGAGTCTAACTTTGGCCATCTGTTACAATCCAAGTTGTGCTGCAATTCTCTGGTGCGTGGAGCAAGTGCAGAATCTACGTCTTGAATATACAGCTCAGGTTTCTGAAAAATGCCTGCTTTAATTGTAATTCAACTTCTGGTCTTCCTGACTGGAAAAGTACATTGGGAGTTGGGCACTTTGTGTGGTCTACAGCACAGTTCCTTTCTTTTGACAGTAGCCCAAGTCTCCCCCTCCCCCTTTATGTGCCACATTTTGTGCAAGATCACCAAAATCACAGCAAGTGATGGGCACTTCTTGGTTCACCCATGGGATATCACTGCTCCACAAACTGCAACTGCCAGTGGGTTTCCAGGTACAATTCAAGGTGCTAGTTGTCACCTGTAAAGCCTTGGCTATTTGAGTGGCCACCTGTGATCCATGGTTTCTGCCTATCCAGTAGGATTGGGTGGAATTGCTGTGGTTCTGGGTCCCACTGATTAACTAATGCCATCTATTGGGAATTAGTAAGTGTGCCTTCTTTGTTGCAATGTTTGCCCTCTGGAATAATATCCCCCCAGATATCTGGATGACTCCCACCCTGATGGTCTTCTAGATGTTCTTTAAAAACTTGGCTGCTCTTCCAGGCCTTGGGACAGGGTGGCTATGGAGCCCCTGTGGGGCGTGTTTTTGCAATCTATCTAGTCTGTCTTGTCCAAACATCTGTGGTTTCTTCCGTTAATTATTGGTTTTACTCTTTTCATATGTAAATCTCCCAGAGTCACTCTGGAGTCAGATGGCCTTTAAATCAAATAAATAAATGAACCATATTATTTGTGTGCACATATAAAAAATTAAAATTTGGGGGAAACAAGTATGGTTCCTGAGGTTTCAGGGGACCTGATTCAGAACCCTGTGATAATTGTTAAAAAAGTAGGCAACATCTGTGGAAATTGTAGAAGCCAGAGGTTTTTTTTTAATTAAAATACATCTAAAAGTAGCCAAATTTAAAGAATGCAGTTGTTCCATTTACATTTTAAGCAAATTGCATTTGAAATCAATACACCAATTCAACTAAGTCTTTGAAATGTATCTATCTCTAAATGTTGTGATGAATTTTTCCTTTATTCAGCTTTCAGTATCATAAAATATATCAGACGATACCTGTTTTGACAACTGATGCACCATTTAAACAGTGGCAAAAGGATATATCTAAACTTGTATAGCACAAGAAAAATATAACGTATATATATTGCTGAAAATAATCATGCATTATTTGGGGGGAAATGGTTTGCAAAAATGAGTAGGGTGGATAAAATTGAATATAACAGTGTCTTGATTGGAAAAAATGTATAGATGTATTCATTTGGAACTAATATTTTCAAATGGATACAGAACAGGGAGGAAACTTTTGAATGATCAACTTCTTGGTCAAAACAAATTCATCTTAAGATAAAGCAGAGAATATTAATTTAGTAATTGTGTATACTGTCTGTAAGTATGCTGATTGCTTCTCTTCCCCACTCTTTCTTTTTCTCATCAGGAAAAAGAGAATCAGTCTCTCATTCTTAAGATCTCTTCTTTACAAGAGGAGGTAAGAATGGGTGTGGATACTCTTTGGCTGAGTCATATGATGATAATTTTTTGCTGTGCAATAATAAGAATATAACAGTGCCGGATTCAATATTCTCCACCAAATTTATGGGCAGAACAATTAAGTGGATAATTTCCCCGAATTTCTCCAGGGGAAGAAGAAATTCTCCAAGAATTTCTCAAGGGCAGTATTTCCTATTAGTGGTGACATCCCCTTGCCGGTGTTCTTGAGTTCATCTGATCGTTGGAGGTGGCAGTGCAATTGATGTGTGTGTGTGTGTTTTTAACAAGACATTTCAATGAAGCTGCCCACACTTCCCAATCAGAAGAAGACTCATGGCAGGAGTTCAATAACAAGGTCTTCCCTTGGGATTGAATAAAAGCGTGGGAAGCTGCAGAATATCAGAGAGATGATGGTAGTACAGTGGAAGACCGAACAGTCACACATACATCTTGGCCTCTTGGATTCAACATGGGTGTAAGAACACCACACTCCACCCACAAGAATTTATCCCAAAGTACCTTCTTTTGTGGAAGGATTTCAGAAGCAAATTCTTTTTCATCAGATGGAAGGAGAATTTGTAGAAAAAAAGAATGCAGGAGAAATCAATAATAACAAGTATGTCCTTTAAACCAGAATATTAGAAATGCTCTTGATTTGGATGGTCTCCAGAAGAAGATTGAGGAGCTGTTCCAGACTATTAGTGAACTCCAAGTAAGTGGCTCCTACATTTTGTTTCAGTATGGAAGTGGCAGAGATTCAGTGCAATGCTTCAGATATTTAAAAGGTTCCCAAGCATCATAATCAAGTCAACTATCTTCTAAAGACCATGCAGTAGTTCCCACTCTAGGATTCCCAGATGTGCTGCATTACAGAACCCAATGTCCCTGATCACTGGTTATACTGGCTGGGGATGATCAGAGATGCAGCCTTACCAAAATCTAGCAATCCACAGTTAAAACTGATGGCATTAAATGGATGTGTGTTGTTTACATTTATAAGTTGGTGGAGGAACATCAGGGAACCTCTGAAAAAGCAACATATAAACATGAAGATTGTGATACTGTTTTTTAAATTTTAAATTATATTTTTAAGAGGCATTTGAGCTAAAACTTAACTAAACTTTGGCTCTGAGCCTTATATTTACATCTCATTTAGCAAATGTCACAGGTCAGAATTAGAGACGTGAACCTTAACATTGGTAGGATTTTCTGTCCCCATAGTATGAGATGGGTATGATGGAACTGAATCAAGGGATTATTATACCATTCTTAACTAGCGTTGAAAAGAACTTTCTCCCCAAAATTCTTGGTCAGTTCTGAGCTAAGTAATTTAATTGTTTTGATAATTTCCTTGTCAAGATTCTCCAGCATTTCTGCACAAAATAGGCAACAGCATAGAACATAATATAATCACTTAGAACATGTAAGATGTTTGCAAAGCATATTGGTGTGAGCCTCGAAATGTTAATGTGTGCCGGTCCTCTGGAACCCCTGGCATTGTTGTTTTGAAGGCTTTCCTCCGATTCCTCCAGCCACTTATGCATTTATACCCATTTTACTGGTGCTTCAGGCAGATCTGTTTGTGTGCACAGACCATCCCTTCCCTTGGAAACAGCAACTGGCTGCAGAGACGGGTGCTTATCAAAAAAGTCAAGATGGCGGTCGGGATGGTGTGATCTGTCCATTTTTCATGTGTGATGCACGTGACTAGGCATGGAAGTTCACAGAGTGATTTTGGGCTGCTCCCTCTCTCTCTCTCGACCCAAAGCCAGCATGGTGGTGTGGTGAAGGTGCTGGACTGCGGGTGTCACAACCCAAGTCCTAGTTCCCCCTCAGCCACAGAAGTGCCCTGGCGACTTTGGGCCAGTCCCTCTTTCTCAGCCCTGGATTAGGAAATGGAAAAACATCTATCAACCCTCACTGGACCAGTGTGGTAGATTATACAGTAGTCCATAACCTTCAGTGAAGTGGCCTTTATCCTCTGGGGCATTGATTTGGGTTAACAAATAACAAGGCAGTTCTTCTGCTTAGCCTTACTATCTTAGAAAGACCAAAAAGAAAAAAAAAAAACAAAGTGAGGAAGAGGGAAAGGAGAAAGAAAACAATTTTAGCATTGTTTTTTCCTGCTAGAATGCAATTTCGTTGTGGGTTTTTGTTCCTCTTCTCCTAGATACGAGCACACCTTTATGAAAGCACGGTGGGAAATAAAGACACAGCCCTCCTTAAGGTTTGTGGGTACTGGGTGGCACTGAAGACTTTCTGGCCAGGTTAATTTTGAGAAGGTTGGGTGTGGCGATGTTTCAAGGTATACTGGGAGGGACTCCAAGTAGTTCTCATTTAATGACCACTCAGCTACCATTCAAACTTATGACGGCGCTGAACAAGTGGTAGTTACGACCAGACCTCATACTTATGGCTGTTGCAGCATCCCTGCAGTCATGTGATCATGATTCGCAACCTTCCCTGCCCGCTTCCCACAAGCAAAGTCAATGGGGAAGCCAGCAGGAGGTTGGAAGTTGCAAGTCGCTGTCACATGAGGTCCTCGCTTAACAACCCATGCAGTCCTCGTTTAACACCAGCAACCGGGACTGCCAGAACTGCTGTAGCTAAGCAGCCCAGTCGTGGTTTTTCAACTTATGACCACATCGCTTAACGACAGAGTTTCCGGTCCCAATTAGCATCATTAAATGAGGACTACCTGTATATAGGACTGAGAGGAATATGTTCTTATGGGAATGAATTAGATATTGCTCTATAGGCTCTTGGCTGTTCCTCGCTATAAATTACTGATGGGTGTAAAGACAGCTGTGGAAGAGTTTGGGATAAAGTCAGCTGGTACAGGATGGCTTCAATCCCCCTCTTTAGGGTTTTGCATACCAAATGTTTGCAGTGCAGATGTTGGGGAATGCCATTGTTATTTGTTTGCATATTTATATAATGCCCGTCGCTGCTTAGAACAGATGAAAACGACATAAATTCTTAGATAATCAATGTACGTAACACAACAGGAATTAAAACACAGAACATTGAAACAAAAGCAACACCTTAAATAATAATACAGCAATGTATGAAAAATCAACCTATTAGTTGAGTAAAAGTCTTGGGTGCAGAGCCAAAAAGACCATTAAGTCGGTGCTTAGCATTCCTGACTGGGGAGGTCATTTGAGAGACAGAAAGCTAATATTGAAATACGTCACCACAGTGTTGGAGGGAATTTGGAGCAGGACTCTAAAGATTGTGTTGCTTTATGGGTGGGGACACAGAGAAAAAGGTGTTGGTTTGGATGTTGTGGATCTAAGCAGAAGGGGCTTGTAGGTTAATAACAGCTCCTTGAATAAATGTGGACCTCTGGAAAATAGATTTTAATGGATTTAGGCAAAAGGTGAGCAGTTAACACTAAATTGTGGTCAGCTTTACAAATGACACTAAGTTAGGGTTAGGGGATCATTTAGTGTAATCACCTAGAGTACTGCTCCTGCACTGAGCAGAGGGTTGGGCTAGTTGACTATGAGGTTCTATCAACTTATAACATTCTATAATTCTTTTATTAATAAATAGTGATTAAGGGAGCGGTTGACGGCATCAGATTAGAAACTGGGGTCTGAGAGTTCTAGTCCTGCCTCAGGCACAAAGCCGGTCACCTTGGGTGACCCTGAGCCAGTCTTTCTCTCCCAACTCTAGGAAGAAGGTGGCAATGGCAACTCACTTCTGAAAAACCTTGCCAAGAAAACTGCAGGGACTTGTCCACGTAGTCGTCAGCAGTCAACAATGACTCGAAGGCACTATATATATATATTTTACAGATGGAATTGTGCTTTCTTTGCTATCCTAGGCAGTGAAATAAGTTGATCGAGTTCAGGAAAGAACACACGTTGCAGCAACATCCGTTCTGAACCTGAACCTTTCCTTTTCAATATTGTGCACCAGCTCCTTGCCAGCTCTAGATGGTGTCATTTCACTCTGAGACCAAAAAAAACTTGAAGGAACCATTGTTTTATGAAAGATTCCAGGCGACTGAAACTCAGGACTATTGACTCGCAGGGCAGGGGTGGTGGTTTTTAAATGCAGAGCTTTAGTTTTTCCATTTTAACAAAGTTCTTCCAAGGCTGTTGTCTTTTGGAATTGTGATGCCTTCACACTTGGTTTATGCGTGGGAACCTTCCTTTCCGACAACATCACGACAACTCCTTTGAGCAGAGACAGAGGTCCACGCTAGATGGAATACAATGGGCAACTTTTTTTGAGCTGCACTCCAAAAATGAGTGGGTGGGGCCAGGAAAAAAATGTACATTAACTTCATTTTCCGTGCAGTTGAATGGCAGTTAATGCCTATAGCAGGGGGAAGCACCTAAATAGGCTGACTGGTTAGTACTAGATGGTAGACTTACCAAGAAATCCCAGGACTCTACGTAGGCTAGACGAGGGAGCCAAATAAGATCCTGCATTGCTGCTAAGGAAACTGCATGGTTGTGTCCGTGAAGCCACCAGGAGTCATGTTCAACTTGAAGAAGTTGTCACCTTGACAGTTAAATAATAGTTAATATTGTTTCTCTTCTCTTCTACATGTAATCATTTTCTTTCCTATCAATTTTCTCTCTTAAAAATTAGTTTGGTAGCTGAGGACGATATCTATAGATCAGTATCTCTCTATATATCTATATATGTATCTCTATCTCTCTATCTCTGTCTATCTCTATATTTTGAGGGGGTGGTCACACAGTCCTGGGACTCTGAGGTTGGTTTGTATAATTCAGGCACAGATAATGGGGAAATTCATCCCTAGAAGTAAAAGACTGGCTAGTTGGCAGCCCTACTTAGGGCTAGAGGCCTACAACTTTGCAACTCATCTGAAGTTTGCTGACCAACAGCTTTGGATTGAGGACTGAGCTCATTCAGTGATCAGAGAATAGAGGTTAGGATGAAAACACAGAAAATTGAAAGGTTAGAAGGAATGGAATGCCTGAAATAGCATGTGGCTAGGGAGAATTCTATAATATCTATCTATCTATCTATCTATCTATCTATCTATCTATCTATCTATCTATCTATCTATCTATCTATCTTACATAGCTGCCCATCTCATAACTGTTGCTTCTCCTGTCCTCCTCCTTACATTAGGCATTTGTGCTTGGACCCAAATATGATATGACAACCCTTGCAGCAAAATGTAATGCACTCCAGACAGAGAAATGACCCAGACTGTTGCAACAGGAAGCTACAATCTCTATTCTGGTTTGGGGACGGATCCTGCAAATGCGTTGGGCAGCTGTGCAAACGTAGGCTTAGAAGAGCCTATATTTGTGAACCTTTTCCCCCCAAAACCTTTGCTTTCAAAGACTCTGCTTTGCATAGATTTGTCTTGCCTTTCTTCCAAACACCTGCAGCTAATTTGAATGTATGTAAAAACCAAAAAACAAAACATCCTTAACCCTGCAGGGATAGTATCTATTTTGCAATAGTGTTTTGCAATGATGTAGCATCGTTCAACTTTTGTGTTTGTGTGGATCTCACCTGCGCTCCGATCACATCACATCTGTTTTGGCCTTTCCTTTCTTGTACTGAATGTAGAGGAAATGGGTGATAAGCCTCAATAGTAAAACAGAGTTGTCATATTCAGAAGCAATGTACATCTGAATATTGGATGTTGTGGTGAAAGAGTAGGGAAATCCTCCCTTTACTCCCTCTTGAGAGCTTCTTAGAGCAATGGCATTTTGGATCCAGATGGATTTTTTCTGACTGTAAGCATGTAAAAGGAAACGATATTCAATGGTCTGGTGGATGCTTTGTCCATGTAAGGTCCCAATCTCTGATTTCCCTTGTTAAAAGGTCTGGAGTAGCAGGAGCAGGGTAGATATTGATCAACAAATTCTAAGATGTGTGGGTGAGTAACCAGAGTAGTAGATGGAAGGACTGGTTTGACTTCAAGCTTCAGGTGCTAGGAGAACCTATTAAGTTGGTTGAACATCTGATTAACCATTAATCTTCCCAATTCTGCCTGTAATGCTTTCCCATCAAAAAGGTTTACCTCCACTGAGAATGTTTCCAGATTTTGAATCTGACTAGGAAATGAAAGTGTGGATGGAATAATTGTAGCTAAGCACCTAGGGGAAAGGTTTAAACCCTCGTTGTTGCTTTGTAAGTATCATCCTGTCCTATTCAGCTAGTGTGGCTGAGAAATTTGTTTAGGTAGCATTTTAAGGCAAACTTAGCCATTGGATTTCCCCAACATATGCACCAACTAGAGTACAGTTACTCTTAGATTGAGTTTACACATGCTAATCCCTAGTCAGGATTAACCAGAGTTTAAAAAATCATAGTTTATGGCTTAGTGTTTTGGGTGAAGCCAGTCAGGGGGTTTATTTAACAAAACATGGTTAATTAAAGCACAGCTTGGTGTAACTACCTCAATTTTACTCTTCAATCATTGCAGAAGGAACTGGATATACAAGAACTAAAGTCTACTCTTAAGGAGTACACCTCAGTGATAGAGGTACTGTTATGTTACTTCTGTGGGGAAGTAAGAAGGTACGGGGTTGTTTGTTTCTTGCTCATAGGGTCTGTTCTAAACATCTTTTTTGGGATCCCATCTGTAGACTCTGCGAATAGAGAAAAATAAATTGTTGAACAATGTTCAGCAGATGCAGCAAGAGCTGATCTCGTGAGTATTCTTAGAAGCCAAGAGAAAAGATGCAGCATTCTTGATCATGGTGGTTTTTGAGCTACAAATGTTTAACTCTTTAAATATATATATTTATGTTTTGCTAGGAATGGTATCAACTTTCCTTTAATCTACAAGTTCAACAGCAGCTTCCTTGAAGCAACCAATTCATTGCATTGTGAACTGGAACTTGCTCAGGAACCATCAGAGGTCAGAAATGGCTTTCAAAGGATGAGAAGACTAAATACAAATATAAAACTCTTAGAAGTACTTGTATGACCACTTTTAACTCCCATTGCTAATCCAGATATGGGATCCCTAAGGGGAGTGGGAAGGGAAGAGCCTTGTTCTATATTTCTGCCATGCAATATTCCCACTTATGTTTGTTTATTTTATTTATTTATTTATCATATTTATATGGCTACCCATCTCTCATAAGGTGACTCTGGGCAGCATACAACAATTAGAAAGAATAAATACATAAAAACAATTACACATAAAAAACTGTAAAAACACACAAAATAGGAAGGGATAAAAATAAGGGAGCCATCGCAAAATCTCCCCGGTCCTGTGGGACCCCCAGGCCTGATCACATACCCAGTCTTGAGGGACTTGCAGAATGTTAAGAGGGATGGAGCTAATCTCACTTTTGGGGGAAGAAGATTCCACAAGGCGGGCACCACGGCACAGAAGGTGTTAACCACAGTGCAGGCATATCCTGGCAATAGCACTGTTCAGCTGTGTCCCCATCACGTTGAGTTCATCTTATCCCCAGGCTCTACTCAGCAGTGGGAAAAGGCTCTTAGTTTGTGTTTTCTATGTGGTTCTGGGTGGCAATAGATGTATGGCTTCATCCTAGTTCTATTAGGAAAATTGATAGTCATTGCAAAACATACAGGTTTTCCAAGCACATGATGTGCTACATTTAAGCATATCATGTGCTTGGAAAGCCTGTATTTTTCAGATTTACATTTTGAAGTTCTCTTCCATGATCTGACATTAACACATAGTACAAACTACTTCGAATAGGAAAATATTCTCTTATAACATCACTGTATGTTAAAAACATGCAGTTACTTATTGCACTCTTAGAACCTTTGAGCTTTTGTAACATCTGAGGCATGTTAGGAGTTGTGCAAGAAACAAGTTTGAGGAAAGTTTCTTTGAAGTGTGTGGTAGCTCCTAAGATCTTTTCTCCTTTTTCAGCTTAACTGAAAAGCGCATGTTTATATTCAGTGCAGTCTATAGGTCGTATCTCCGATCAGAAGTACAATGTGAAATTTTCAAATTACTTTTTCTCGTGAAGATCCCTGGAATTGAATGGACAGCGCTTGATGAATCACTGGACAGAGAAGTTCTGCTGCTTCTTGGAGGGCCAGAGCGAGTAGGAGAAAAGTTCAAGGCCACTATTCTAAACTTGGTATGGAAAATGTTGGATGTGAACAATGAGAAAAATCAGACTTGAAAACACTTTTTCTAAATTTTTGCTAAATCCAACAAGACTTTTTTGCTGCCTTTCTTCCCATTTGGGTAACAACTTTTGGCTCCTTTTCATTGATTGATGCCATTGGTGGTGTCCAGAGTATAAAAGAAAATACATAGTATAAATGTTCCATTCTAAGGGTTCAGCCATTCCATTCCACTGAGGTAACATTGGGAGGCTGATGAAATTATGGAATTCCCTCCCCAGAGAGGCCCACCAAATATATCCTTATTCTTTTGCTTTTACATATTAAAGTTCTTTTGTTGTTGTTCTCTCAGGTATTTGCATGCATTTCTTTAATCATAATTGGTGTTTGTTTTGTAAGCTCTCCTGAAGGGTAGTACAAAAAATCTTAAATAGTCACTAAATCTCAGCTGCACCTGTTGAATCCTGCCTGCAGTCTTGAAGGGCATAGTGGGGACAGACAAGGAACAGAGAAAAGAGAACAGCAATAGGTTCAAGTGGCTTAAAGACTTCAAATGGGTGTTACCCTGCAATTACTTTATTGTTTCATATTACTCTGTATTGTTTGTCCCTGGGATTGGAGGCATAAAACCAAAGTAAGTAAATTAAACTCAGTTCTTAAATCGAAGCCTCCATGTGCTAGTCACAAGTCAAAGCAGATGTGAGAAAGACAACTTACCGCACCTCCAGGGTCCCTTTCAACCCAATGATTCCATTATGATAACCTTGGGTGTTTCCCAAATACTGAAATATAAACTCTGATCTGGCCCTTTCTTTACAGCAAGAAGAACTTTCTCAAATCAAAGATTTAGCAGGGCTGCCTCTTCTGAATGCTGCCGGCTCTGAATTGGATATGCAAGAAGCTTACCAGAAGAGCTTGGTGGTAAATAACCCTTGAATGGCAGGCAAGCATGCTCTTAGGTTGTCTTCCCTGCCGATAATCTCACTTGTAAACATTAGCTCAACTTTAATTCATCTGGTGCCCTTCAAATGTATTGGGACGTGAATTCCTAACAAGTATCCAGTTGCAGACATCAGATGGTACTAAACTAGTGAATGCAGAATAGGATCAGGCCTGTAGGCACATGTTGTGATTTTTGGTTATAGCATTCTGGTGACTGACAAATTAAGAAGTAGGCAACCTACAGAGCTTTGCTCTGTTTTGTGCATCTCCTGGAATTTCCTATTTGGTTAATGCCACAAAGTAAGTAAGACCAGTCAAGAACCAGGGTTTGGCTGGGTTCACACAGCATGCTAGGCAAGAGGGATTCCCACACAGGATTCTGTAGCTGCTTTTCTATAACGTAAGTTCTTGTGGAGAGCTGAGCTGATTTCCAGCTCAGATTTGATATAGTTGAAAGCACTGTGAGTCTGTAATTTCTTTTGTTTTGCTTTGGGATGCTATAGATCTATTTCCTGTTTGGAAATGATCGGTACAATTTTGAAAGCAGTGCAGTAATTACCAGGGGTTGGCGTGGATTTGTTAAGAACAAATCTTGCCAGTCTAATTTTTTTAATCAAGAAAATGTTCTTAATAGATTGTGGGAATGCTGTAAATGTAATATATCGTGATTTCATTAAGGCATTTGACAAAGTTCTTGACATGCAGATTAAAAAGCTAGTTAAGTGTAGGCTGAATGGCACAATATTTAAGTAGATACAGTATGTAAGTGGTTTGAAAATCATATTCAAAGAGTGCTCATCAGTGATTCCTCATCAAAATGGATGAAGGCATTAAGTGGAGTGGCACAAGGTTCTTCATACCTCTATTAACAATTTGGATGAAGAGATGAAGGGAATGCTTATCAGATAGATTATATAACATTGGATGGGATTGTTAATAACTTGGGATATGTAAATAAAAATCAAAGTGATTATTCATAGGTTAGAGAAATGGGCTTAGAAATATAGAATGAAATTTAACAGACAAATTCAAAGTTGTTCACTTAGGAATCAAGTGTACAGGTATGGAGTGGAAGATACCTGGCTTGGTAACGCTACTTCTTCTAAGTCTATGTTGGAATAATTATAGATTGAAAGCTGAATATGAGTCAGCAGATATGGCTGCTGCAAAAAACAAATGTGATATTTGGTTGGATCAAGAGAAATACAGTTTCCAAAGTGCTGGAAATAATTCTTCAGTTTATTCTGCAATTGTCAGATCCCACTTTGGATGCTATGTCCAGTTATGGGTATTGTACTTTAAGAGGGATTTGGTGAAAGAAACAAGTGGAAAGGATGGTAGAATGGATGATCAAAGAACTAGAAACTGAGTTCCACTAAAGCAGTGTTGTCCAAACTTGGCCACTTTAAGATGAGTGGGCTTCAACTCCCAGAACTTCCCC